TCATATGTGGGGGTAAGGGGATATTTCATGATATAGCCGCAATATAGCCATGACAAAATGGTGATTTAAGCAACACAAGTGGTGATATAAACACATTATATGTATATATATATATAGATATACATCAAACATAGTTTCAAACCCTGGCACATATGGATGTAATTGATATATATATATATATATAAAAGACCGTTGGATGATTATTCTAGGAGCTTATGAATCTGCCTTGTTTGTTGGGAGCTAATCCCTTCCCCCTATTAATACTAACCCACCCGAATAATAAAACTAGGGTCCATCTCCAAATTTTAAAAAAATCAGGTTGGCCAATTTGACTTTTAATTGATCCCCTTTAGAAAACATTTTTTTAAAGCTACTATTTGTAGGATTCACCCCAATAATCAAAACTAGCTGGCTCTGGGATGTTTTGTATTAGGGTCCGTCCGAAAAAAAAAAAGTTGTTTATGGTTGTAAATTAATTATTATTAGGGTCTTCTTCGAAATCCAATTGTTTGCAATATTTTAGTTGGACTATAAAGGAAATTCAATTGATTTTGAAATCGTCAAAAATTGCTTTTTTTTGTTAAGGGTTTTAATTTATTGTTGGGGTCCGCTTCGAAATCCATTTGTTTGCAAGATTTTTAATTGGGTTATAAAAGGACATTTAATTGATTTTGAAATCGAAAATATAGTATCTTTATTATATAAGGGTTTTAAGGTCCGCTTTGGTTCCCTAATAATAGTTACCACCGCAATAATAAAAACTACCTGAGGTATTTATTATTTGGGGTGGTTAGTATTCGGGGGAGATGATTATAGAATGACCCTTGATGGAATTTCTGAGCATTATTAATCGGAAAATCATGACCATTCTATAGTTTATTGTGTTTTTGATTCTTATCCTATCCAGTAATAGATTCCAAATATGGTGTTTATAATGACCTAATGAAAATGCTATGGAAATTCTGAGCACCAGTTTTACGGCACTGGAGGGTTTTCATCGCCGTGGGGTTGGTGATGCCGCCTTGATGACCATGTTAAATAAAGGCTGCCGATCAAATTTATACACATCTTCATGGGACAATGTACAATACATATAATATACTATTTTTGCCAAAATAGGATCCAACTGTGAGTGTATGTTCAAAGATGTTGAAATGAATGTGAGCAGTGAACAAAATCTCTGTCGATTGATTATGATTGTGGGTTCTACTCCGTAGTTTGATGGAGACCACTCATGTTGGCCTCTGATGAATCATAGGGCCCCCCCCCTCTGTGACCTTGAATAGATTTCTAGCCACCACCAAACTTGTTTGTAAGTATTGATTTTCAATTACCACAGTTTAGAATGAAATACAAAATGCAATTTCCAATAAAATAAGGAACCCAACAATTGTTTTAGTATTGATTTAGTATTCATTTCATGGATTTAGTATTGATTTAGTATTCATCTGGGCAAGTCTGGGTTTAGGGCAACAAAAAAAATAGCTTTATTTTGGGGTCATTTATTTTTTAGTTTGGGAGTTTGGTTAGCTTTATTCCGGGTGAGTTTAATAATCGTAGGTGAACATTATTATCCATGATTGGAACCCCTTTGAACCAACCATTGGAGCCAATTCGTTAACCAAGTTTTGACGATGCTTTTAACATGGGTCTGGATCAAGTTACCTCTGAAATACGATACCCTCTGGTAAACTAACATAACTATGGAAAGTCACCATTTTCAATGGGTAAATCCACTTCATGGCCATGTTCAATAGCTATGTTAAATTACTAGAGGGTATGTTTAAGGGGAGGAAGCTCCATATACCAGTCATATTTTGGTGTTTTCAGAGGGAGAAGCATTTCCAGGTTAGCGCCAGTACGCTGGAGTATCAGCTGGCTGATGCCACATTCGCTGCATCGGAGATCGTGACAACGATGAGTTGGCAGAGTTCGCAGTACAACACCATTTCCATTTCAACAGCTTCAGGCAGCTTCAGGCCTCCTGCATCCTGCTGCAGAGGTAAATTAGAATTTGATGACTCAGCGACGGCGAGTCGGACAGGAAGGAGCAGACGGGACGGAATTCGCAAGAGGAGCATGGTAGCTGGGAACGAGGCTGCAGCAAAGTCAAAGGGATACATCAAAAGAAATCACCAGTGTTTTGTTGCAAACACTATGTGGCCGAACCACTCCATGATCTCATGTATAGCGACTCCACTTATGGTAGGTGCAGTAGCTCCAATTTAGGATCCTGAAATGGTCATTGAAAATATGCTGAAGATGTTTGTCGCTAACTCCAGAACTCCAGTAGCCATGTTTGAAGGGTATCTGATATTTCTGGAAGTGTTTTGCTAGAATCCTTCAGGGACACCAAATGTTGGGGATCATGGTTGTCGCATCCCAACATATCCCTTTTATGTGTGGTGTTCACATGTTAACACCCTCTAGAGTTATGGCCATGGCTATTAGTTCTAACTGGTTATTTCTATGGGATTAAAAAAAGTATAAATGGGTTCTCTTAGTACTTATAACTGGTAAAGGGCCTTAACTGTAGATAATAGTTAATGGATTTAATTTAATGAACATTGAGGTATTGATCGAAAAAAATGAACCCTACAATGTCGGAATAATCAGCCTAATTATTTTTTTCAGAGGGGTTGAAACCACCAACCAGATTGTTTAATAGAGGATTTACATTTTTTTGCTGAACATTCCCTCTGGGGAGCCGGCAAGATAGATGTCCCTTTCCCACATCGACGGGTAACCCTCATTGAACAACCAATAGATCAATGATCCTACAGTTATGGTCCGATAATACCCAGTTATAAGTACTTATAACTTACTTTAACCCCATTTATAGAATTTCTGGTTGGTGGTTTCAAATATGTTTTATTTTCCATAATATATATATATATGGGATGTCATCCTTCCCATTGACGAACTCATATTTTTCAAGATGGTTAAAACCACCAACCAGATTTATATATACCCCCTGGTAAACTAACATAACTATGGAAAATCACTTTTTTTAATGGGTAAAACCGCTATTTCTATGGCCATTTTCAATCGCTATGTTGGTGTTATAACCAGATTTATAGGTGATTTACCCATTAAAAATGGTGATTGTCCATAGTTCAAGTGGATTTTCCATAGATATAGTCCCTTTTTATAACCGCGGCCATAACTAATAGCCATGGCCAAATTGTAGTCAGGTCTACCATCCATAGATCTCCCCTTGGATGGGATGCTAAAAACGGACGCATCCCGAGAAACGTAGATAAACGTAGATTTAAACGTAGGAAGAAATCCCAAAGATAACGTGCAGCTAAGGCCCTTTAACAGGTATAAGTACTTATAACCCAATTTATAGAATGTATAATCCCATAGAAATAACCAGTTATAACTAATAAATGGCCATAACTGCATGGGATAGATAATCTACATGATTGTACTTTTTTGTAGAATATCTACTGTATATATGGCCATAGCATCCCAAAAATAATGAAATAGATTGTCTATCTCTTTGGGGATCACCAATGACCCCGGATGCTACTGTTTTTTTTGTATATTACGGATTTTTTCTGATGACTCCATTTGGGGGACTTAGCATCACTAGGGTCATTAACCAATTAGGATTCCTGGGATGATCCTCCTTATAATAAGCCAGATTTCACATAGTTGGTATCCCCAGCATATTCCTAGTATTCCCCACGATACCAGCATGGTTAAAGCACAACTTCATCATTTTCTTGGTAAAATCACAAATTCCCTAAGATCAAATTCCCTGCAGAAACCATGTTTTAGTGTTGGATTTAAACATACTTGGGACCATAGAACACGGTCGTTTACTATTTGGGGGCATGAATTCTATGCCCATGATGATATTCCAAATGTTTAGCGTACTTTTAATGATGTTGTTTGTTCCCATATCAAAATACCATCGATATCCCCATGATATCCCCATGATACCCCATATGTGTTGCCTGATCCTTCCAGGCATGTTGGACGGCTCAGTGGACCCTCGGCACAAAACTCTTTGAAAACATCGTGCACCATTGGTTATATGATGAGATACTAAGAACATTACATTTGGTGTAGATATTAGAATGGTGTAATATTTTTTTACGTATCCATGATATGTCAATTTATTGTATGGATATTATGATATGATATGATATGACTATACATGATTTGATATGATTGATGTAGATATTAGAATGTTAGTGATAATTACCAAATGTCATGTTGTACAATAAGTAATATTGAAATACATTTGGTAATGGTTTGATGTGTAGTAGAAGGTTTCTTTGGACACATCAACATATTAGGAGATTCTTGGAGAACGAAAGTGGGATAGATCACCACAGAAAAGAACTCACTATTGATTGTCAAGAGTCAAACATCGGGGTTGATATGGTGAAATATCGGGATGAACAAATATATATATATATATAAGTATATATATATATATGTATATATATAAGCATATATATATATATGCATCGTGGGGCCACCTAGTGATGTTTGTTGGTTTATAAGCCCCAGTAACTATATTTATAAATACCATAAACAATAGTTATCGGCGTTATAAATCAACTTAGCTATCTAGGGGGCCCTACATTGTATATTTTTTTTATATGGGTATACATGTTATAAGCCAGTTGGTAGATGGGCAAAACCTCCACCATAATCCCATTATCATCCCAGTGATTCATATTTACCTAATAGTTTCCAACTGGTGCAGGATTTCTTACCCATCCACAGTAGAATCACTATTTCAAAGAAGTCAATTATCGCACTAAACGGGTTTGTTCCAGTTCGCTATGGGAAAAAAAATATCCTGTGGCTAACATAGATGTGGAAAATCACCATAAAAAGAAGCTAATTCATCCGTAAATGGGCAGTTATAACCACATTTATGGCCATTTATACTCATTTATAACTGGTATTTCCAGCCTTGCATCGGCTACTCCTCTGCCATCTCGGACGAAGATTCACCGTGCCATCCCATGGGATGAGGTTTTTAACGATGAAGCCGGTGGGATGTATCGCTTGAGCTTGCAGGATGGTTTCTGGGACTGAAGAGTAGCGTGGATATATGCGCATAATATGTGTTTTCCATCAAAGTCCCCACAGTTAAGGCCCGAGTTATACCAGTTATAAGTACTTAGAAAACCCCATTTATAGAATGTTTTTTTATCCCATAGAAATATCCAGTTATAACTAATAAATGGCCATAACTGTAAAAAAAAACATCTTGGGATTTGTTTGATATCCTAAAAAACATGATTATTCCCATGAATTTCCATAGTTAAATGGATTAGATAATTAAACCCTTTCAATTCCCACAAATACTACTTAGAATATCCGTTGATAGTTCATTAAATCCTATTAAATCCCAAAGAGTTAATAAATACCTAGTAGTACCAGAGTCAAGTAACTATCAACTATTCTGGGACTTAAGTACCATTAAATCCATTTCAGTCCTATCAAATCCCTAATAGTTGATAGTTCATGCGTCCCATCAACCAACCGATATGCAGTTAAGTTATAAGTCAAGTATGACCCCATGTATGAAATGATACCCCCATTCCCATTTATAACTTATAACCATAAAAATAAGTTGCAAAGGGCTTTAACTGTAGAGATTTCCGAGAGTAGGCAATTTGTGTATTGAAAAATGTTAATTGTTCCATTAAAGTTATACTCTGGTTATGAAATGGGAGTTATACCACCATACTATCTGGGCTATTTGGAATCTTATTACCCATAGTAGGGAAAGCCATGAACCGACCAATACAATCAGATGGGATAGTAGTATTTTAAATGGCTCAATTGTTATATAGTTTGGATAAATTATAACGACCTCACTGTTCGGTTAGGATTCGGGGAATCATCCCCAAATGGCCTTAATTAAGGTTAGTGAAATATGATAATTTACTCAGATATATCGTGAATATATAATGATATACAATTACATCAATATGTAAAGTTTGTTTCTCTGGATTTGCGCCACCTCAGATCAGATAATCCCTGTTTGGGAACGTGGCCCCTTGTTCCTGAGCAAGTGGCCTTTTTTGTGTGCGTTTTTTTTGAATCAGGTATGTGTGAAACAATGCAGTGGAACAAGTGGAACAGTGTTTTCAATGGTAATTTCAGGATCCTAAATTGGAGGTACTGTACCATATAAGGCCATATTTTGCGGGGATATTCCCTTACATGGGCCTGAAAAATAGGCCTTATATATAGTAGGTACCTCCAATTTAGGTTCCTGAAATGGCCATTGATGTTTTGGGCATATTATCAGGATCCATGAGCTGGGACATCATATGCACCCAGTGACTGAGTTTTGAACCTCAGATGCTTTGTTGACACCTTGGGCAAATCCTTCTCTGTTTCCAGCTTCCAAGTTCAACGATGGATGATGATTTAATGGAATATCATTGGGCCAACTATATCCAATTATAGCCAACATTAACCAACTATTGACCAACTTTAACCAACGTTCATCAACTATTAACCAACTATACTTGGATATATGGCCAACATTAACCACAAGGTGGTGCCCCCCTAGTTATAAATTGGTTTATAAGCCCCATTTACTATAGATACCATAGTTATTGGACTTATAAACCAACTTAGCTAACTATGGGGCACCACCCTGCAACTTATATTTAATAAATAAATGGTTCGGACAATGGAGGTACCGAGTGTAGCCACAAAAAAGGAGTGATCTTTGTGGCGTGACCTCAATGGAATCATGGTGTATAGGGGAATCATCCCCAGCCATGGCCCGACAATTCAGGTTAGTGAAACAGTTAAACATTAAAACACTCAGCTATATATATATAATAACAATAATAGTAACAATATTAATAACAATAATAAGAAGAATCATATTCATAATATATAACAATATATATAATAATATATATATAATAATAATAATATATATAACTATATATATAAATATATTTATAATTATGTATATAATTAAATACATACATACATATATATATATATAAATATGTATATACTTATAAGCCGTATTATATATATACATAATTGTATTTGTTTTAATTTCCTACTATAAGCTTCATTCTAAGTGGGTTGGCGTCAAGCCAGTTGCAAAAGTTACGATGACTCCTTAAAGACTATGTATAATTTACTTAGAATGATATTATAATTATGACTCATAGGCCCTACATGATTCTTGGACGTATAGTACATGAATTGCGAAAGCCGATAATATTACAATTATGGCTCCCTATGCTAACTCATCCCTATGCTAACTCACTAGGGGATGTTAGGACAAAACCAAGTTTGATCACCCTCAGATGAACCTTGCGCCATTCTTTTGTCGAATTTCCTGGGATTTATAGGGATTAATAGGGGGGTTATAGGCTAGGGTTAGAGGGATGCATAAGGCTTTAGAGGGATTTATAGGAGTTTAATATGCTTATCATGTGGATACAATGGGATTTGAATGGGATATAATGGGATATACCTGCCGATAATCAAACATGGTTTGCTGGAACATCTCACATTTATAGATGATTTTCCCAGATATAAACCTCTTCTTAGATGGGATCTTTTATTGCTACGTTTGATTACCGGAGGGTATCTAATACAGTCGGCTTATCTTCAATGGCCATTTCAGGAACCTAAATTGGAGGTACCTACCATATATAAGGCCTATTTTACAGGCCTATGTAAGGGAATATACCCACAAAATATGGTCTTATATGGTACAGTACCTCCAGTTTAGGATCCTGAATTCCCATAGAGTGACCTACAGTTTCAGGCCCAACCGCATGGTACGGTCTGAAAATGGATGCAGCCTTTTGGCCAGAAATACAAGTTATTTCTATGATTATAAATGGGGACAAATGGGGTTATAATTGACTTATGACTGGTATTTAGGGCCATAACTGTGGGGATCACTCTCAAACTTTGTTTTTAATTATCTGTGTTCTCAATGAGTATACCATGGTATACACTCCAAAATCTGCAAAATATTGCAATTTCAACAGGGGAAATGATGCTTCACCGATGCAACTAAGAATGCCGGATTTTCAGTCAAACCTAGTATGTCTTTTGTTTGCGTCCTTGAAACCATGGTTTCCGCCTTGACTGATTCTTAAAAACCGTTTTCTGGATCTTCAAGATATCATCGTTTGGTGGTTCAATGGTGCTCTAGCCGCAAAACAAGTATTTTTTCTCAAGGATATATGGAGTTTTCCTAAAATGGGGGTACCCCAATGGCTGGTTGGTTTATTTCATGGAAAAAACCATCTATAAATGGATAATTTGAGGGTAGCCCTGTGTCTTAGGAAAGCCCCTTTTTTGTGTCATGGTCAACACATGTTTTGGTGAATCCGCAACTGACGGCCATGTAGAATCCCTGTGGATTTATGACCATGCCCCTTTCATCACGTTTATATGGTTTCCATAAATGGAGGTACCGCAAAATAGTTGGTTTATAAGGGAAGATCTTATTAAAATGGATGATTTAGGGGTACCTCCATAAATTGACCATGGCATATGTTTAAATCAACCTAAACACTTACAGCCCGATTGTTTTTCTCTCCGGTGAAGTAATGAAATATATTGAAAGACATTGAAACCCATAGGGTTGGGGTACCCACCCATTTTAGGAAATCATCATCTCTTGGTCAACGTCCCCTCCCGTCAAGTTATGCTGGGATGAGGTTCTGTGATTTGGTATACCGTGCCTTGGATGCGATCAGCATCTAGCACGTTGGATACGCAATCTTTGTATCTTAGACATGCTTACAACCATGCCCAAAAAGAATCAAACAGGTCGAAAAGTAAGATGATGGAAAAGTAAAATCCGACCATATCCAACCCAGACAATTTGGATAAGTTGTTCCTGAAATCGTACTTTTCTTGGCTTACGATAGGTCCAGGTAGCAGTGGATGGGTACTTTAGATCAACCTCGCCAGATTATGCAGCGTATCTTAGTTTGGCCATGGTCATGTTCTAGCAATACGGGGATGGGGTTACCTATGAAACCATGTTTTGGAGGAATAAATATCCATGAGCCAACTATTCTTGAATTTTGGGGTGCAGGTACCAGGGTTTTGACCCATAGCCATATCTTGGATGCTTAATCTAGACCATTTTTCAATATCCTAGGTTATACATGCTGTTTATGGTTATTATATATATATTTTTTTATTTAATTTATAATATATATATAAATAAGATGTATTTGGCATCCGGTCTCACCGCTACCCCAATTTTGACCACTACTAAAAGATGGGCTGTAATGAAGAATATCGTGAACTTAGAGGTGGGGAAGGATCTCAGTCCAATTAGTTCTATTCACTTTCCATGGGTGAATCCTAAGTCTAGTAACTTCCAAGAAAATATAAAAGTCCTTTCCAATCAAGTCCTTTCCAATCATAAAATCGTGATAGAAGAAGATGTGGAAAGGACTTGATTGTGAATCATTATCTATCTTTCTACACAAAAGGATAAAATCCAATAGGTAAATATAAAAGTCTTTTCTTTCTACACAAAGATGTTCTAGTTTACCTTCTCTGAATCTTTGTGTAGGTGTCTCAGGTCACAACATGAAACAGCTTCAAAAACCTCCCGAGTTGTCGTGAGTTGTTTACAAGGTAGGGCCCACTAGATGGCAAAGTTCACATAAATAACTAGGTTAACTACGTGGTGTATTATACGTGTATATATATATATATATGGGTAAAATTTTAACGACCTCACCACTACCTCACTGGAATCATGGTTAATACGGGAAATCATCCCCAAATGGCCGAACTATTCAGGTTAGTGAAATATTATCATTTACCCAGGAAGCTCATTAAGGACGCAGAAGCAAACTTGGATGAAGAAAAAGCTAATCGCCTCTGTGCAACTGTTTCACCTCTGGTTGTCTGCCCGTAAACTTCACTGAAGACGGCAGGATTTTGGAAAGAGGGTGAAGGTTTCCAACATTACTTTCATACCCTTGTTCTGTCGTAGATACTCTTTCATTTTGAAGTCTTGATGTTTAAGATACTGTAATACCTTGATGCCTCTGACCCTGATGTTGCTGATGGCATAAGAAGTTGTGTAGTTCTTGAACGCAGATTGTTCGTCTGTTTTTGTTGCTTAGAAAGTTTTTGTATTTCTGTAAGTGTTTTATCCTTGTCTAAATTTACCCATCTAAGACCTTTATTTTCTTTCAGTTCGTATTTCTTATATTCGATGGTTTGGATGACTTTGTTGAATTTGTTGTTAAGTCTCTGTGTGATAGGCTTGTTCCTATAAAAATTGTAGGTCTTGTCTCCTATCTTCAGCTTCTTGAGTTCTCTTCCATTCTGTTTAACGATTTCCCCCTCTTTGGAGGTTAATAGATAATCTAAAACAATCTGCTGTTTTCGTTCCTTCATATATATATAATTATATATATATACACAGTTATATAAATAATGAACGGCAGGTTATTAAAAGTTCCCAACGTTCACAGCACTGGGTGGCCACCCAGAGGCACCATTTTTTGGTCCTGGCGGCGCGACCTTGGGCGGAGTGGCGTGCAGCCGAGATGGAGTCTGGGTTTCGTTGAAGATGTCGTGGAGAGATACAAAGTGGGGCCCCCAAGATAGCTAAGTTGGTTTATAACTTCAAAAACTAGGACTTATGGTAGATATATCTATAGTTAGTGGGATTATAAACCAACTTCTAACTGGGGGGCACCACCTTGTATGACAGTTACCCTCTGATGATTTAACGTAGCCATGGAAAAAGCACCCGTTTTAATAGGTAAATCAATGTAAATCATCATCTATCCCCTAGACATGGACCATGTTCTATAGCTATGTTAAATAACCAGAGAGTAACTATGGTTTATGGTAGATATAACACTGAGGTTTTACAAACCAACTTATAACGATATAACATGATATAACTACAGTATCCATGGGGTGAATCTAAACCAACTAGTAACTAATTTAGTGTTATTGGTATATGAATGGTGTTCACTGATTCAACATAGATATGATGTGATATATAATAGCACAAATAGATATATATGATGATTTTTGGGATTTGAGCATCAGATGTTTGGAGAGTTTAATTATGACAAATGAGAGGTATTGGGGGCTTAACATGATTTATCCTACCCATATGCTTCATGTATGGTATGTTTCCCTACATTTGGGTGATTTTGTTCGGGCAAATGTTACACATGTTGGCAAATATTCCAGCACCATGGAGCATATGGGCTTTAGATGGTAGGAAGAATGGAAGATTGGGCAGTTAACATTGAAGAATCAAATAGATCAAGCATGATACAAAGTGGGACCCCTTCGATAGCTAAGTTGGTTAATAACTCCAATAACTATGGTTTATGGTACTTATAACTATAGTTACTGGGGATTATCAACCAACTTATAACTGGGGTGGCCCCACATTGTAGAGACCAGAGATGTGTTCAACAAACTTTGGGGATGATAACCATGGTGACTTAATAGATCCTTGGCCCAAGTGGGCCTCCGAAAAGGCCACGTTAAATCGCCAACTTGGGGGCCACACAACTCCAATTTCACGAAGGTTTATGGTACTTATACCCTCTGGTAAACCAACATAACTATTGAACATCACCACTTTTAATAGGTAAATCAACTATAGCTGGGCCATGCTTCATAGTTATGTTAAATTACCAGAGAGTGACTGTAGCGTGATGATGGCATGTGGACTGTTTTGTGTTTTTCGATAGAGTAGGAATCAGTAGGACATCATGTCCAAGTTTCATGTTGAAGTTTCGCATCGATACAGCCATAAACTTTCATGGTTGGAACCCAAGCCGCATACTGTAGCTATACCTGAGAGGAAAGCCATGATTCTGGGTAAATTACAACGAGCTCACTACGACCTCACTGGAATCATGGTTAGAAAGGGGAATTATCCTCTAATGGCCTTATTTCAGGTTAGTGAAATATTATAATTTACCCAGATGATTGAAACTCATTGATATTTTGAGATACCTGCGCTGCAGTCTCGGTTGGTGTGTATGGCATTAGCGACTGGATGGGTAGAAACTCATCCTTTTAGTTGCATCAAATGGAAAATAACAATGGAAAGTGGGGCCCCCGTTTACGATAGCTAAGTTGGTAGTTTATAACTCCAATTTCACTATGGTTTATGGTACGCAAATAAGAAACTAGTTACTGGGGCTTATAAACCAACAAACATCACTGGGGGGCCCCACATTGTAACTAGCAACATATTACATGTTTTTAAAGGACTACCTGACTACCAAAGATTGATCATGACTGTAAGCAACTGAAGAACACCATGCAAGCAAGGGGAGGAATACTTTTGATCTTTTTGTAGGATGTCAGGATAATTCAGATTAGCCGTTCTTTGTCCATGAAAACGGTAAGTGCTGGCCATTCCAACATTCACCAGCTAGATTGGGCTTCTATGTAAGGCTGGCAGTGACAGGCCGCTTGCTCGTCAGTTGCGTATACCCATGGTTTCAAATTGATTTTATCCCTATACTGGAAATGAGCGCCACATATTTGGTGCCCTCAACTACCTTCTCATCATTTAACATTGCTATGGAAAATTGTCCATTTACAGATGATTTACCTATTGAAAATGGTGATTTTCCAGTTCACTATGTTAGTTTACCAAAGGGTTTCATGTTTTGTGGTTGTCTATACATAATATATATATATATAATTATATTCCCATTAAATATGTCAATGAAATTATATCAATATTATGAACGCCCCACATCTTTTCAACCGTGCTTTGCTCGACATCTCGACATGGGACATCTTCATCTCTGGTGAATCTCCCTGCCATGGCCATGAAAACAGGGACTTAAATGGACTGGACTGAAATAACTCCAACGAGTTGCAGAAAAATGGCCATGGCTATTAGTTATAAGATGTTATAAGTTATAAGTGGTTATTTCTATGGTATAAAAAAACATTCTACTTCGATAGGGTTTTCTTAGTACTTATAACTGGTATTTAGGGCCTTAAGTGTAACTAGTTGGTTCTATATCATTTCATCCCATAAAAACCATGTTCATCATTCCAATAAAAATGTACTAAAACATAATTATGTACTGACATGTACTGAAATGGACTACATGTTATACATCACCATTTCATCCCATAAAAATAACTGTAAGTTGGGCCATAGCTGTGGTTTTTTGTCGGCAAGTCCCCTTATTTTTCGTGGCAAATTTTCACCCAGAAGCCTGGCTGAAGAGTGGCCCAGTTACCACGAGGACGGTCGAAGAAGCATCGCCACTCAGGAAAGGTGTTCAATGGCTTCGCCACGGCTGATATGTGCTTGGTCCGAATAGATCGGTTCTTTGTTTCACAATGTGGGCCACCATAACTATGGTAATTTAAATCGTTGGCTATGGATAATCACCCATTTATAGATGATTTACCTATGAAACGTTGTGATTGTACAATTCCCTGTAAATAATTGGTTGGTGGTTTGGAACATTTTGTTTTTTTTCATATATTGGGAATAATAGCCCCAACTGATTTTCACTCATATTTTTCAGAGGGGTAGGTATACCATTAACCAGCCAGTTACAAGTGGATGAACCCTACTTAACTAGGGTTTTCCAGAAACAATCTCTAAATATATATGTAATTACCATGAAACTTTATAGCTGGGAAGATCAGGGAACTAAATGGGAGATTTTCCAGAAGGCAATGTTCTTTCAACCATACTTGGGATAAGTGGTTGAGATGACCGGCATATTTTCGTGGTGGGTTAAAAATAACAGTGAGCACATGTGATCAATTTGAGGGTTTCCAAAGTCATGGGCGGGGTACCCCTAAATCATCAATTTCAATAGGATTTTCCATTGTAAACCATCCATTTCATTTGTGGTGCATCTCTATTTATATTTATGGAAACCTCCATTGATCATTGATTGATTATTCAAAGGTCAGGAGAATGTAACTGTTATTACCCTGTTTGGAGCAACCCTGTTTGTTATCCAATTATGTGCTGTTTATTGCTGCTTATTTCCCTTTAAATATTGCTTGCTACCTAGTGAATAAACATTCACAGTATCAGGAGGTTGTCCTGAACTTTAACAATCTATATCCATTGATATCACTTGCTTCATAAAATCATTATAAAAATGTAGGTTATACACCCATAAATCTCTGTATCTTTCCATAGTCATTGGTGGTTAGACAGTACAAGAGTTACAAGACGTGACAAAACAATTGCTGGCCTTGGTCGGAAAATTATAAGTTTCCCCGTTTCCCCAGACATTTTTGTTGGTTGATGCTCCTGTTATTGAGGGTATATATATATATATATATGTGTGTGTGTTCTTTCCCCCCTACTTATATATATATACATGTATATACATAACATGCACGTATGTGAGTCAGTTGCAACCACATATATGAGCCCATGTAGTTAATATTGTTGGTTTATCCCCATCGCATCTCCAATTACTCTACTACTTTTTACGGTTGTGTGGTACTATTGTATGTTTCGTAATGCGTATATAATATAGAGTATCAATATTTATAGATGTCCCTGTCTTGTCGGGATTATGTGGTTACTTATAGTCACTTGGATTTTTATGAATTCCATATACAGTGATTATGTCTATTTCCCACTTTCCCTTAGTATAACTTGCTATTTATAGTTCTATTTGTTCTGCATCTCCATCAATGGGTGAGTTTCATAAAACCACTATTGGTTCCACGGTGGTGCCGCCAGTCGCCGGTGATGTTTGGTTATGTGAACCCCATGAACATCAACTAGTTAGATATATCTACAATAAACCCTAGTGAAACTAGAGTTATGTGAACCCCAACTGAACGCTATCATAAATCAGCGAGCTATAAATCCCATGACATCCCCATGTTCCTATGGTTTTCCTATGATTTGTCCTATGGAACCACCACTTTCATTGTAGGGGGCCCAATGATTCCATGAAATCCCATGCAATGACCCTGTTTCTGGTTCAATCCCACTGTTCCTACAATACGTGGGGCCCCCGTGGCCAGGCCACGAGTTATCGCGACAAGTTGGGGTTCACATAACTCCAATAACTAACTATGGTTTATGGTACCTACAACGAACTAGTTACTGCGGGGCCCCACTTTGCAGTATATGTTGCATACGTTGATAATTTGTTTGGTTTGGTTGCTTGGATTCCCAGAGACTAATCAACCAAGATCCCATGAATTCCACATGTTTTATGATTAATATGTGTATACTAATACTAACAATTTGAATAGTAATCATCATAATAATGATAGTAATATATATATATATGTACATGTCTTTCAACATTCATTTTCTACTAAAACATCATTGTTAATTGTTAAAACCCACATGTTTCATGTTAGAAATGGGTTTGTTTGTAAACAGAGTATTTTCAATGTTCATGTGTTCATCATTATTATAGTTATTCCCCTCCTGAAACTGCCATAACATTGATATCCTCCATAACATTGGTAAATCCCATGTCAATGGGAACTCCAGGATCCTAAAATGGAGGTACGTTAGTACCATATAATGCCATATTTTGCTGGGATATTCACTTACATAGGCCTGAAAAATAGGCCAAACATATATGGTAGGTATCTCCAATAAATCCGTTCCTGAGATGGCCAGTGACCGTGGGTTCAATCCCAATGTTCTTACGCTCGGAGCCCGAGCTTTGGGGCACAGGAAAAGTGGCGGCCTAAGCGCCTTCGACGTGCAGACGGGGCAACGGCGGCATGGTTTGTTAAAACCGTTTGCAGTCGTGATTGGAAGCATGGTTTTTACGGTGTAATGGGATTTATCAGGATTCAATAAGGGATTTAATGGGAAGTTAATGGGATTTAATAGGATTATTGTACTGGAAACATGGTGATGTTTCATGGGATTTTGATGAATTTCCTGGGATTATATTGGAACAATGGTGATTCTAAATAATTTCATGGGATTGTAATGGAAAACATTGTAGTGTCATGGGAATTTACTGAGAAGAACAAGGGCTGGTTTCATAGGAGACAGAACCTACTTCAAGGTGCAGGCCAGGGCTGACGACTGAAGCTGTCAGGTTCTTGTTCAATCATCCTATATATATTACTCTATAGATATATATATATAGTCCCATATATACCATATTAGATTCCCATATGCTAGGTCAATCTTACATGGATACTTTAATCCTAACTAGTCTTTTGGTATGAAAATGGGAATATGTACGTTCACCAGCAAAGAATTTTTTGGCAGGTTATCTAAAATTTGCAATGATAAGGCTGGTGAGGTTTGTTGATGTTTGTTCGGCAGCATCAATGCATTCAGATATACCCTCTGGTAAACATACAAGCAACAATGGAAAGTCACACCTTCTTTCATGGGTAAATCAACAAGTCCGACTGGGCCATTTTCAATAGCAACCTGTTTGTTTAAGAGGGTAATTGATACATATTGATACACTTACTGGTGCTAAACGAAGGGAATGGATGGGTTGCTGGGGGTTGCTGGGATTACTATCGATAGTTCTTGTGGATCATTCCCTCATTCCCTACTAAGCACAAGTAAGCACATATATATATATATATATACATACACACACACAATGTGGGGCCCCCAAACGATAGCTAAGTAGGCAAATAACTTCATTAACTGTGATTTATGGTACCTATAACGCACTAGTTACTGGGGCGAATCTCAACCAACGTTCACATCATTGGGGACCCACATTGTATTGTTGTTGGCTTCATCCATATCTGTTGACATTCCATATATCTACGGAACTGGGGTTATGTCAATGGCCACTTCAGGTACCGAAATTGGAGGTACCTGCCATATGTAAGGCCTGTGTAAGGCCTATGTAAGGGCTATGTAAGGGGATATGCACTTAAGATATGGCTTTATACGGTACAGTACCTCCATTTTAGGATCCTGAATTTCCCATTGATTATGACATATTTATACCCATTGGAATGCACGTGACACGTGGATAAAATAAGTTCTGCTGGTGGTGAAAAGTTCTGCTGTGTGCTGCTCAATCCCTATTGGTCGATGATCATTCCTCTTTTATTAGGTGTATACTACCATGTGAGGCCCCCGTTTACGATAGCTAAGTTGGGGTTCACATAAGTCCAATTTCACTATGGTTTATGGCATTTATAGCTATAGTTGCTGGGGCGAATCTAAACCAACTTATAACTGGGGGGCCTCACATCGTAGGGTTTTTTTAGGGATGTAATTTGGTATATGGAATACACCCTCTGGTCATTTAACAGTTTGCTATGAAAAAAATACACATTCTTAGATGATTTACGATGATTCACGTATGAACATTGGTGATTTTCCAGTTCGCTATGTCAACTAACCAGAGGATATCAGAGACATTTTTAATGTTCTAAACCCCTCGCACGGGTTGAAGATTGCTGCCATGTTTTGTGATACGATTGCTACCATGATACCTTTGTTTCTTGGTTTGTTGATGATTGTAGGGGGGTATATTCTCCAATATATGGTTGTGTTTCATGGTCGATCATGGGATTACCCTCTGGTAATTGAACATAGCTATTGAAAATGGCCATTTATATAGTGAGTTTTCCCATTGAGAATTGTGATTTTCCATAGTTATGTTAGTTTACCAGAGGGTAAATTGAATCACAGAAGCTTTCGAACACAGCTCAGATGAGCTCACCAGTTGAATCGAATGTTGATTGGTTCTTGTGTGTGGCCATACTACTGTTTGGTTTATTGGGCAATATTGGGCATTATCGGAAACCATTTCATACAATGTGGGCCCCCCCAGTGATGTGAATGTTGGTTTATGATCCCTATAGTAACTAGTTTGTTATTTGCCAGTGATGTTTGTTGGTTTATAAGCCCTAGTAACTAGTTCGTTATTTGCATACCATAAACCATAGTTATTGGAGTTATAAACCATAGTTATGAATAACTGTATAGTTATTTTTTGTACCATAAATCAGTTCGTGAAATTGGAGTTCTGTGAAGCCCAATCGCGATTTCCTGGCCTCCGGGGCCTTTGTTATGTCAATGGTAATTTCAGGATCCTAAATTAGAGGTACGTTAGTACCATATTTTTGGCAATATTTTGCGGGGATATTCCCTTACATAGGCCTGAAAAATAGGCCTAAAATATATAGTAGGTACCTCCAATTTAGGATCCATTGATAATTCCCCTTGATAAATCCAATTTAGTTAATCATTATCAACCACCATAATCCACTCATAGACCCTACTAACCCTGAAATGGCCATTGATTATGGGGACCTGTTCTATGGCCATGGCTTCGTCATGTTAAATGACCAGAGGCTACCTGCATTTACACATTATGGCCATGGCAAACCAGCCAAAAGGAGGATTTCTTCGCAACCACGTCTGGAGTGTTTGTCTGTTATGTGATATTCACTATTCCCAATGCAATATCTTGTTTGGCTGCCCAGACATGGAGGATGCATCCCTAGAAAAGAACGAGTGGAACTGGGGAACCCTATTTTTGGCCGAACTACCACTGTCCTCTTGAAAAAACTAAGACGGCTTGGTGAAAAAAAATGGTTTGGAAATTTCATATTATGTATATAATATTCATACTATGTATATAATATTATATAATTATATATATATATGGGGGTATATGTTCAACCTGCTTTATGTTGTTTTGAGGCTATGGCTATGGTATTTCAAAAGTTTCCGTTGGGTTTCACGGGGGGTGTTGCTGGGTGGGCTTGATAGGACAGACATCAAAATGGGTTTGAAAACATGTTTGTCTAAAAACTGGGTACCATTGAATCTTCAGATATTCCAAATGTTCAAACCAACGTACATGTATATATATATATATTTACATATATATATATACATATATATATATGTGTATGTGTACATAATACACACACAGAGAGACAGACAGACAGACAGACCGACGGACAGAGAGACAGACAGAGAGAGACAGACAGAGAGAGACAGACAGAGAGAGACAGACAGAGAGAGACAGACAGACAGAGAGACAGACAGACAGACAGACAGACAGACAGACACACAGACAGAGAGACAGACAGACAGACAGACAGACAGACAGACAGACAGACATACATAATGTGTACATACTGTGTACATACTGTGTACATACTGTGTACATAAGATAAACTAAGTTAAACTTACATATTATTTCATGTCATCTTATTTTGGTTTATTTATTTGTTATTTATCCAGCAGACTATACACGTTTTTCCAACATATTCCCGTGATTTAAACCAACAGCTTTCGCCCTTTAATTCAGCGCGCCTTTACTTACTGGTGCTTAGTAGGGAATGAGGGAATGATCCACAAGAACTATCAATAATAATCCCAGCAACCCCCAGCAACCCATCCATTCCCTACGTTTAGCACCAGTAAGTGTATCAATATGTATCAATTACCCTCTTAAACAAACAGTTTGCTATTGAAAATGGCCCAGTCGGAATAGTTGATTTACCCATTAAAGAAGGTGTAACTTTCCATGCCCTGAGGTTGTGGACCAAGTGGGTTACCGCCCCCGTGCACAATGCCCCCGCGATCGGAAGGATCCACAGTCATGACCGTCGCTTGGATTTCTGTCGATTTTCAGCATCCCAAAATGGCACTTTTCCTAGGGAAAATCATGATAAAACATGACAAATACCTGGATTTTTAGCATTAGATGTACGTTTTTTGAATTTAAGACCCATATTGATTTTTAGTAACAAGTATATTATAAGTATATCCGGTTGGGCGTGTCTGAAAATGGAAGATATCACAAGTTTAACCCGGAAAACAATGGTAAACCATCAAACATGGGGATTTCGTGGGACATTTGTTGCATTGTCTTTGAATGGCGATTAAACAAAAACGAGGGATATAATTTATAAACTATGCGTCATAAAGTAATTGCCGTGATTTTGTTTGGTAACCACTTGATGCAATCATTATCTATTTGAAGTGTCATTTTGCGATGAAATCCAGTAATATAAACATTATGTACACCCAAGCCCAACGGAGTTTCATATTTCAAATGAAAATACAGTAACGTTCTCTTGCGGTTCGGATTTGTTGATTTTGTCACTATGATCACAATGATTGCTGCACTGTTGATTATGTTACTTGCTGCAGTCCTTTTGATTACCGTTTCGATTTCATATGTAACACTATTGTACTTTGGTAGTAACACATTGGAACCCTTGTGATCACTGCAAGATACTGCAAGTATTGCCTTTTTTTTTGTGATTACCATCTCTGTTACCATACAGGTATGTAATCACATGTAAGCACATATATTCCACATAATATAGATTACGATGATGATGATGATGATGATGATGACGATGATGATGGTGATGATGATGATGATGATGATGTGGTGTAATCCCAACAAATATCATCACTGTCTTGCAACCCCACGCAAAATAATCCTAAACATACTGATAAACTCGGTTTCCATCCTTTTGCGGGCTAGACTGATTTCCTAAAATAGGCGTACCCCCAAATCATCCAGTTTAATACGGTTTTCCTTTATAAACCAACCAGCGAGCTTGGGGTACCTCCATTTCTGGAACCCCCATATATTAGTAAGTGGGTTAGTTCACCCCAGTGTTTTGACTGGCTGAACCCGCTCCAAAATCTCATGTAAATCACAACGGGGTGCACGAACTACCACGAGCAAACACGACGTAGTTGGGGTAGTTCGCCACAGCCGTAAGTCCCATGAAAATCCCTTAGATGGGCCATTTTCCAGGAAATTCCCATTGGAAATCATGTGATCTAATCTGGTTGGTGGTTGAGCCACCCCTCTGAAAAATATGAAAGTCAGTTGGGATGATGAAATTCCCAATATATGGAAAGTCATAAAAGCCATGTTCCAAACCACCAACCAGTAATGATTTATCCCCCAACTAAATCCTGAAGTCTTTAAATGTGCACAGATGCGCAAGGTGAAGCAGTAATCTTTGCCATGGGCCTCCCAACAGGACGTGCTTCGGCCAACCTTGGACGAGCTGCGGAAAAGGGGACATATTGGACCTGAATTTTCAGGGTACCCCACCAGTTTTGGTTTATAACTAGCGAATGGGAGTTAAATGTTTTACTGTAATATAAATAAACATGAAGTATGAAATGGCTCACAAGTGGGTAAACGCCATTAACTCCATTAACATCCATTAACTATAAATACAACCTCCATAATTTAGCGAAATGGGAGTTAAAACATGTTATAAATGTTTTAACCAACTTAAGACCTAGCTAACTATGGGGCACCAGCCTGTTAGCATGGTTTTGCAGGTTGAAGCCGCCAACCAGGCTGGAAGTTTATGCTAGGTTTTGCATAGAATGGGTGTTAAGATTAATCAACAATGAACGGACGCAAATTATATACACATATGTATATGTATATTCATATATATATATATACATATTTATATATAATATATTATAATATAATATAATACAGTATAATATAATATAATATAATATTTTATTATATTATATCATATTATTTTATATTATATACATATATATATTATACTACATATTATATTATAAATATAATATATTATTTTATATTCTATATATATAATATTATACTATATATATTTTAATATATATGTATATATATATATATATATTATTGTTTATTATATTATATTATATTTTTATTTGTTTATTTTATATTACATTGTATTATATTATATTATATTATGTTATACTAAATATCATATAAGGTATGTATATATATATATATACATATTGTATATTATATTTCCCCACCTGCCAGGTGAGGGTTGTTAGATTTTATCAGAGTTGTTCTTCTCCTCCTCGGCTAGCTGTCCTCCTTCTCCTCCTCCTCCTCCGCCTCCTCCTCTAGTTTCTCCTCGATCATGTCTGCATCAACTTCCACCTCCACTTCCGCCTTGCCAACTCTTCGCCAAGCTCTTTGCCAACTCTCTTCGCCAAGCTCTTTGCCAACTTCCCAGCTCAGTGTGCACCGCTGGACCTCAACCTGGGACCTTCCCAGCTCAGTGTGCACCGCTGGACCTCAACCTGGGAGCTGCCCAGCTCAGTGTGCACCGCTGGACCTCAACCTGGGACCTGCCCAGCTCAGTGTGCACCGCTGGACCTCAACCTGGGACCTGCCCAGCTCAGTGTGCACCGCTGGACCTCAACGGCCAGATAGAATGCCAGAAGATATGCCAGATAGAAAGCTATAAGATATGCCAGATAGAATGCCAGAAGATATGCCAGATAGAATGCCAGAAGATATGCCAGATAGAATGCCAGAAGGTATGCCAGATAAAGTGCCAGAATGTTTGCCAGATAGAATGCCAGAAGATTTGCCAGATAGAATGCCAGATAGGATGTCAGAAGATATGCCAGAAGATATGCCAGATAGAATGCCAAATAGAATGCCAGAAGATATGCCAGATAGAATGCCAGAAGATATGTCAGATAGAATGCCAGAAGATATGCCAGAACATATGCCAGAAGATATGGCAGGTAGAATGCCAGATAGAATGCCAGAAGATATGTCAGAATATATGCCAGAACATATGCCAGAAGATATGCCAGATAGAATGCCAGAAGATTTGCCAGTAAGAAAATCTATAAATGTCATGGTGGGGATCACACGAAGTAAAGTATTTTTTTATTGTGCATATATTACTTTTTTGACTATATATATTATATATTATGTACTTTATATACTATTTTATATATACAATATATTTTCTTTATATAGATTATTTATTATATATTGTTTTGTATTATATACTAGATTTGTTGTTTTTTACATATATTATATCATATCATATCATGTTATATTATATTATATTAATTCGTATTGTTTTATTTATATATATATATGTGTGTGTAAATTATCTTTGGACTATAGTCATAATAATCACTTTAACAATAATCATATCACCTACATCACCATCTTACCATCACTACAACACTACAAAATCACCTACTAACGTTGGGGGAAGCACGGGTAGATCCACCGCGACTCAGACCCTTTGGGTCCAGCTGTTTGGACCAACGGAACGGTCTATGCTGTGGATGTGCCTTGCCGTCATGGGATTTTCCATGGGATTTTCAGGGGACTTCAGGATTTCGTTGGGGGATAAATCATTACTGGTTGATGGTTTGGAACATGGCTTTTATCACTTTCCATATATTGGGAATTTCATCATCCCGACTGACGAACTCATATTTTTCAGAGGGGTGGCCCAACCACCAACCAGATTAGATCACATGATTTCCAATGGGAATTTCCTGCATTAGGCCCATCTAAGGGATTTTCATGGGATTTTTGGAGCGGGTTCATCCACTCAAAAAACTGGGGTGAACTAACCCACTTATAAGCCGTGGAATGAGCCACCAAATAAGGGTAATTGAATGGTAATTCATTAGGCACATGAATTCATGTGATTTTCCTGGGATTTAGCATCTTAAGCAGCCAAGCCATGTGGATTGACCCAGCCATAAAAATGGGTCAAACCCCTGCATCCTGGTGAACATCAAAGTTGTGTATAGATGTGTAACCCCAAGGAATGGTATCTACAGGTATTGACTCGTTCCCATGTGGCAATGGAAAATCTGCATTGTTTTTTGGTTGGTGTATTTTCCGAGCTATAAACCTTCATTTTTCCAAATGGGATTTCCGATTTCGGCCCGACATGTTTGACGACATCGGAGGGGGATTCACAGTTACCTTCCTGAGCCTAACTTTAAATTCATGTGGGTAAAGCAATGTCATAAACCATCCCCCAGTCACCATGTTTATAGGTGGTATGTTTACCATATCCAGTCATGGGTGGAGATTGCTTCAACTACTTGGTAGTTCATCCCATGGCTCGTAGGGCGGTTAGTTCACCCCAGTTATAAGTGGATTAGCCCTACAATGTGAGGCCCCCCAGTTATAAGTTGGTTTATAAGCCCCCATAAACGATAGTGAAATTGGACTTATAAACCAACTTACAAATGGGATAAGTAGGGTTAATCCACTTAGAACTGGGGTTATAACCCACTTACCAAGTGGGCTGAGCCACCAAGTAGCCCTACTTATTCCATTTAATTTCCGGATCGTTCAGATCTTCCGGGTCAAAAAGCGGCCAACATTGTGGATCACAGCAGGAACTTTGTGCCCAGCCGTTTCTTGAGCCACAGCCATTTACATATGCATGTGTACATGTGTTAATATATATATATATATTAATTATTTCATATATATATATATATGTACATATATATATATATATGTACATATATATATATGTGTGTATAATTATTTATATATATATATATGTATAATTATAAATATATATGTAGAACTATATATATATATACAGTATATGTGTGTGTGTGTTAAGTACATCTCTGCACCTGCACTCTCCAAGAGTGCCCATGCAGATCTTCTCAGCGCATATCCAAGATGCCTGCGCAAAAACTTAGATATGTCCGAACGCAATGCTTGGAAGGTATTTGATATCCTCTGGTTCTCAAACATGGCTCGAAAATCCATCGTAGTTGATTTTCCCAGCCATCACCCTCCGTTTACCCTCTGGTAAACATACAAAAAACTATGGAAAATCACCATGATATCAAGCAACTGAATGGCCATGGCTTCAGGTTAAATTGCCAGAGGGTAGTTTGTGGGTTTCCCACGTTTTGATGGGGATTTCCAGCAGAACCCCAGGCTCAAACTGGAGACTTCATTTGGACCTTTGAGCCGCCAGTGCCGGGGCAATTTTTTTTGAGACCTCCAGTGCCCTAGAGCTAGGTATAAATGGTTTTCACTGGGGTTGTCATTTTATAAATGTGGTTCTAAGTTACTTTTAACTGGTAAAGGGCCATAATTGTGGGGATTTTCAACCGAAAAAGGGATTGCGTCAGGAAAAAAGGAATTTAAACGACCAAAAGGATCCAGAATGGGAAAAGGGGGATTAGCAAGCCATCATTGAAATTTGGTTGGTTAGCGAACATGTTACTTGGTCGAAATTTGCACCTGTGGATTTAACTAGCAAGATGCAGATTTAACTAACATCCATGCTTACCCAGAAAGAACAGGGAGTCAAGCAGCAAACAGAGGGGATCTAGCCTACAAAAATGTGGGTTCAACCAACGGGCATGGGGAGTTAACCCATCAACATAGATTGCAATGTTGAGTACTGTAAGGAATTGATGATAGACAACAACAAGTTGGGTATGGCTCCGATTTGGGGCTGGGCGCGGCTGGGCGGCACTCATGTTCTTGTTGAGTTATGCATTTTGTGTGTTGTTTATTTCTGGCATTTGAATTGATTTTGACCTGATATTTCTGGAGCATTTTCTGGTTCGATAGATCTTCATTTGTTTACCTGGCAGGGAATCGATAGCAATTGAATCAACCCTTTGACAGGGCTCAACAAACCACAAGGTCTGGTATGTCTGAAATGGGATACTCTCTGGCAATCAAACGTTGCTGGAATTTACCCCATTTATCGAAACTTCCATTTATAGGGTACAGCGGATTTCCCAGCTAGCCACGTTGATTACCGGAAAGTGCCTGTCACAAACGAATGCTTTGTCGCAATTTCGTTCACTAAAATTATCCCTTTGAGGGTATCCTCCCATTGGAAGCACAGATGATTTTCGAATCAAGGACTCCATAGTATTCCCTCTTATAGATGACGTTTCCATTTTTCCCCTTGAAAGTCGAATTGCCATTGGTTTGTGGCTCCATGTTCCCACTGCTCATACTTTTGCATGAACTTACCGTCCGAAAAAATCAAACACGGCAATGGAAAATTCTCGATGGAGGTTGTCCAAATGCTATGTTTGATTACCGGAGGCTACATCCAATAGTCCGGTATATTAAAATCCCATCAAATCCTGGTTGGTGGTTTGGAACATGAATTGTATTTTTCCCATTCAGTTGGGAATTTCATCATCCCAACTGACGAAGTAATATTTTTCAGAGGGTTGGCTCAACCACCAACCAGAGTCGTATTCAGTTAAATCCCTATAAATCCATATAAGGCCATATATTTTGCGGGGATATTCCCTTACATAGGCCTGAAAAATAGGCCTTATATATGGTAGGTACCTCCAATTTAGGATCCATTGATAATTCCCATTGATAAATCCAATTTAGTTAACCATTATCAACCACCATAAACCACTCATAAACCCAATTAACCACCATTTTTACCACTTATTAACCACATATATAACCATTAAATCACCATTAAATCACCATTAAATCTCATGAACTCCCCATTGCCCATGCATCCGCTTGTTGGTCTCAGGCTTGGTACGGTGCGTCATGTGCGGGCTCCACCCTAGAGCAAATTTGCATGCCGGACCTCTTTTCAGGTGCCAAACACAACCAGTGATTTCTTTGTTATATATATATATACCCTCTGGTAAACTAACATAGCTATGGAAAATCACAATGTTTAATAGGTAGATCAACTATAAATGGGCCATGTTCAATAGCTATGTTAAATTACCAGAGGGTATAATACGTGTACATATATAAATACGTATGTCTATATATATATATATATACATACGTAACTTAGTTATCTAGGGGGCCCCACTTTGTACTTCGGTGCCCGCAAACAAATATGGGGAAACCTTGGATAGGTTGGTACTTTTGCATCGAATTTGCTCATGATCTCAAGTCGTGATGCCATTGAAAAGATGGTACTCTTTTTGAGGGGATTCATCCCCAACTGGCCGTATCATACGCATCATAATAATCAATGGGAATTTCAGGATCCAATGCATGGAGGTACGTAAACGTACCATATGTTTGGCCATATTTTGCTGGGGCATTCCCTTACATATGCCTGAAAAGTAGGCCTTATACATGGTAGGCACCTCCAATTTAGGATCCTGGAGTGGCCATTGAAATAACAGCTGTTTATAGGTTAGTAAATTATTGTACTTCAGCATACTCAAAAATAGGATGAGCACTGGTGTGGGCATTGCTCATCTTGTTTTTAGCCTTCTGGTAATCAAACATGGGAATGAACATAAAAACTATCAGAGGATTATAACCTATAAACTATACATACTCATAAAAAACTATGCGTTTGTTTTTATAGCCCCAGTTCGATGAATTACCCCTGACTTTTTGCCAATCTTTTGCTGGGCTTTCCCAGCAGATGACACGGGAGGCGCTACCGTCTCCAAGGATGGAACTGTTCCTGGGCTGGTTTTGGAAAATCGCTGCAGTTAAGGCCCGAGTTATACCAGTTATAAGTACTAAGAAAACCCCATTTATAGAATGTAATCCCATAGAAATAACCAGTTATAACTAATAGCCATGGCCATAACTGTGGAGGCTGTGAATTTCACCTGCTCAACGAGGGTCACGGTTGAGATGGAACCATGGGATTGGACTGTAAGTTGGGATTCCGGGTGTGGGCTCCCGAAAAATTTATGGCCCGGGCTATCCACTTGGTTCACTTAGTCTAAAACTGTAGCCCTAAATCCAGAAATGACTGACATACATACAAAACGATGTCAAGATCGTTTTTGTGATCAGATGCAGTTTACCATTCATCCCTCACTGTACTCTCTGGTAGGACGGAGCGGTTTGGGGAGAAAGTTGGAGCTACGAGTAGACTTTCCCAACCACATGATAGTTAAACTACCTGACTTTACAGTAAAGAGGCCCTTTGTATATCAGTTATAAGTCAGTAAGTCACCCCATTTATGGAATGATAGCCATTTAAAACCATTATTTTATAACCATTTATCTGACCATTTACAACTGGTAAAGAGACAAAAATGTACCAAGTCAAGTGAGACTTGCCTTATCCAAGGTCTATATCAACTGGTCGGCTGGAGGCATTACCTACGCCCTTCGAGTGCCTTGGGTGGCTTTTTAGATAAGGCAAATCACGGTTGCAAACCGGGTCCAAGGCGGTATGCCCCAGAAAGAAATCTTTAAGTTTCATGGGATTGGTTTTTCAGGGAAAATCTTAACTGGAAAGCATAGGGAAGTATGGGAAAATAGATGGTATTTTTCATGAAATACGTGAAATATAGGAAATATAGGAACACATAGGGAAAATATACCATGAAATGGGATACCCCCAGTTATCATCCATTTATAGATGGTATTTTCCATGAAACAAACCAACCAGCTACGGGGATATCCCCAATAAATCAATGGATTGGTTTAAGGGAAAATCTTAACTTGAAAGCATATAGTTTTTACCATTATATATGCGGGTTTCCTGTAATTGTTCCCGTGAACCAATCCAATGTTTGTTAGCTTACAAGCCGGGTTATCAATGCGCATCACAATTTCCAATTGGCCTGGGGAACCAATTTAGTTGCGTTTTTTTTTAAATTGAAATATGGTTTGCAAGATTCTTTTTCAATCGGGTATGGCTTTAAATCGAACAAACCAACATTAGATGAAACTATCAACCTTATCCAAAATTGCACAAAGGATTTTCAACATCCAGTGGGTGTCTCCAAAATCCTTGAAACTTTGAAAAACATATGTGTGAATCCCAGCGAAATTGTTCACACAAGATCCATCCCGCTAGATGATATATAATAGTATAGTATTACATAGTAAATACTATTATATACTATTATATACCATATATAGTATATAGTCTAGATTATTATATAATAGTATAGTGACCAATACCATCCAATTATTAGATGCCAAATAAAGACTAGCGATCCCAGTGCCAAGGGCCCGGAGATTTTGTTCATTTCTTGGGACCATCGGACCATCCAAGCATGAGATTCAATAGATGTAGGGCTCTGGTTGGTGGCTTGGAACATTGGTTTAGTATGGGATAATGATGGTTAATGATGGTTAATGATGGTTAATAATCACTGGTTGGTGGCTTGGAACCATGGAATTTTATAATGTGTCCATTCGGAATTTCATCATCCCAACTGACTTTCACTCCATCATTTTTAGAGGGGTGGCTCAACCACCAACCAGCGACATATAACCATTAAATCACCATTAACCCGAAACGAAAAAAACGTCACCAAGGACTTGAACAAGGATGGCAGGTGTGAGCTGCATGACTCGGAGGTGCAACTGGCGGGCTGGCGATGGCCAAAGGCTTTAGTAATGTATCAACCGTTAGAGTTAGTTAACCATCAGTAAGTAATATCAGGTTTTTAGATATAACTATCTGTTTATAGGATTTTGGGATGTAACAAATTATAGGGTTACTACTCATATAAGTTATCATTGGTTATATTTTTGGGGTTAAATCATGTTTTTTGTTTTTTTGGTTAAATCATGTGTATTCAATGTTTATATGTTTGTTTGTTCTTAGGCCATGAGTAACCCATATCAATGGGAATTTCAGGACCCTAAACGGAGGTACTGTAGTTTTATAAACCTACAAACATAATGTTTGGGGCCCCACATTGTACTAATCCATACTAATCCATACATTAACTCATCCCATATGCTCCTGTAAAGTATATGTAGCTACATCTGGCTCACTAATAGGGTGAATGAGTGGATGTTGGCAAATATATTCCACATCAACCTATATTGACCTATATGAAGAGGATCATCCCACTTAGTAACTAGTTACTGACACTAGCTAGAAGCCAGTTAGATTAATGGGGTAAGCCTACAAATCGCTATCCAGGGTTACACACCCCTAAGTTGGACCCCCCATTTATAAGTTGGTTTATAAACCCCAGTAACTAATTCGTTATAAGTAGCAAAAGCCATAGTGAAATTGGAGTTATGGTCACCAACTTAGCGATTTCGTAAATGGGGGGCCCACTTTGTACTAAGCCAGTTAGATTAGTGGGATAAGGCTACAAATCGGGGAGTTATAGTACTAAGCAAAGTTGCAAACCACTTACTAAGTGGGTCCAGTAACTGGTGAAATTGGAGTTATGTTCACCAACTTAGCTATCAACAATCAGCTATAAATGAGCTATACAATTCCATATTCAATGCCACTTTGTCTTGGTTAAATCATGTCAAATCCCCATGTTCCTATATCATTTCTATCGTTTAGGGGTCCCATTTTCTACCAAAAAAAGAAGAAACACATCGTGAAATGGGAGTTTTCTGTGACCCACACCAACTTAGCTTAGCGATTTCGTGGCCTGATCTGGGGGCCCCACGTATTGTACAAGGTGGTGCCCCCCCAGTGATGTGAACGTTGGTTTATAATCCCATTAACTAGTTCGATATATCTACCATAAGTCCAAACGTGAAATGGTCGAGTTATGTGAACCCCAACTGAACGCTATCATAAATCAGCGATTCAAATCCCATGAGATCTCCATTTTCCTATGGTTTTCCTATGATGTTTCCTACGGGGGCCACCACGTATTGTAGTAATCGAATGGCTTAAGGGCTCGCACCTGGCACCCAGTGGGATGAGCCTCTCCCATCGTCCAAGGAGGTCTCTGGCTTCGACCTGGGCTCCGGTGCCACTGGCCCCCCTGCGCTGGCCGAGCAGATGCTCGTACCGTGGCGTCAACCGTGGCGTACCGGGGAAAAAGTCATGGGAAGATTTGACTAATTAACCATAAATGGCTGATTGGTGGTTTGGAACATTTTTTATTTTTTCTATATTTAAAGAATAGTAACCCCCACTGACTAATCAAAGGAAGTTTAGGGGGAGAAACTTCCGTGTTACGGACTTTTAGAATGTCAGGGAAAGAGTTAGTCAAAGAAAGAGTTAGCAAAGAAAGAGTTCGTCAGGGAAAGAGTTAGTCAAAGAAAGAGTTAGTCAGGGAAAGAGTTAGTCAAAGAAAGAGATAGTGAGGGAAAGAGTTAGTCAAAAAAAGAGTTAGCAAAGAAACAGTTAGTCAGGGAAAGAGTTAGTCAAAGAAAGAGTTAGTCAGGGAAAGAGTTAGTCAAAGAAAGAGTTAGCAAAGAAAGAGTTCGTCAGGGAAAGAGTTAGTCAAAGAAAGAGTTAGTGAGGGAAAGAGTTAGTCAAAGAAAGAGTTAGTGAGGGAAAGAGTTAGTCAAAGAAAGAGTTAGCAAAGAAACAGTTAGTCAGGGAAAGAGTTAGTCAAAGAAAGAGTTAGTGAGGGAAAGAGTTAGTCAAAGAAAGAGTTAGCAAAGAAAGAGTTCGTCAGGGAAAGAGTTAGTCAAAGAAAGAGTTAGTGAGGGAAAGAGTTAGTCAAAGAAAGAGTGAAAGAGTAGTCAAAGAAAAAGTTCGTCAAGAAAGGTTAGTCAGGGAAAGAGTTAGTCAAAGAAAGAGTTCGTGAGGGAAAGAGTTAGTCAAAGAAAGAGTTAGCAAAGAAAGAAACAGTTAGTCAGGGAAAGAGTTAGTCAAAGAAAGAGTTAGTGAGGGAAAGAGTTAGCAAAGAAACAGTTAGTCAGGGAATAGACGTCAAAGAATGAGTTAGTGAGGGAGAGTTAGTCACAGAAAGAGTTGCAAAGAAAGAGTTAGTGAGGGAAAGAGTTAGTCAAAGAAAGAGTTAGTGAGGAAACAGTAAGAAAAGTACAGTTAGTCAGGGAAAGAGTTAGTCAAAGAAAGAGTTAGTGAGGGAAAGAGTTAGTCAAAGAAAGAGTTAGTGAGGGAAAGAGAAAGAGTCAGTCAAAGAAAGAGTTAGTCAGGGAAAGAGTTAGTCAAAGAAAGAGTTAGTCAGGATATATGAGGTAGTCAAAGAAAGAGTTAGCAAAGAAACAAGTTAGTCAAAGAAAGAGTTAGTGAGGAAAAGAGTTAGTCACAGAAAGAGTTAGCAAAGAAATTGTTCCCTCACTGTAAATGGGATTGCAAGTGGTGCTGGTGGAGGAGTTGCCGATGCAGTTTTGGAGGAAGTCTCGCACGAAATGCGTTTTTGAGAGATAGCAGATGCACGAAACCCTGTGTTTTTCCAGACAAAGTCCGTCCCCGAACCTCGATGATCTACCTCTGCGGTGCGACGGTTGCGAGACGGTCTCGTGTGTGGTCGGATCATTCTCGGACCATGGTCGGATCATTCTCGGACCATGGTCGGATCGGTTCCGCATTGTAAATGGGGTTTCACCTGTGTTTCGTGCATTTGCGGTCGACAGAATTCCATTGTGATTTGCAACTGTAGGATCGTTCCCGCAATGTAAATGGGATTGCAAGTGGTGCTGGTGGATGAGGTGCCGATGGAATTCCATTTTGATTTGCAACTCTAGGATCGTTCCCTCACTGCAAATGGGATTGCAAGTGGTGCTGGTGGAGGAGTTGCCGATGGAGTTTTGAAGGAAGTCTCGCACGAAATGCGTTTTTGAGAGATAGCAGATGCACGAAACCCTGTGATTTTCCAGACAAAGTGTGTCCCCGAACGTCGATGATCTACCTCTGCGGTGCGACGGGTGCGAGACGGTCTCGTGTGTGGTCCCAAAAGCTCTGGTTAGGCTAAATTCTATCTATTAGGTTATATCTTGTTTTCTGACTATTAGTTAAATTTTGTTTTTACCTATTAGGTAAAACAACTGTTTTACCTAATAGTCAGAATTATCAAATAACATTTTTTTCTTTAGGTTATTTATATGAATAACCTTTTTTTCTTATAGGTTATTTATATGAAAAACCTGTTTTGGCACCTTTTTTTGGAAAAACTTCGTTTTCTTTTTATATAAAAAAATATATCTATATTGCAATCTCCAATGAAACATTTTTTGATTTGATACATTTTTTCCGATAAAATGATGCTGAAAAAACTACATACTGTACAAAAGAAACACAAAAATCATATATTTTGGATGGGACAAACCAACACAGGATAGAAACAAAAAAACACATGTCAAAAAATAAATATATTGTATATACATGGATGTCTCAAAACGAGGTGTTTTTTTGGTTCCAAAAAGGGTTCTTTGAGAGGAAAAAAGGACACCTCATTTTGAGACACCCCCCCCCACACACACACACACTTTTATATATATAAATACATAAATTGACACACACACACACATATATATATATATACACATATATATGCAAATATATATTTATATATACATATACATATGTATATATATATATAAATAAATTTGAAGAAATAAATAACTATATATAGATAGTTTTAAAAATACAAAATGACAAATCATGTTTTGCAAAAATCAGCAAGGATCTTTTTCGGGGCGCGAAGCCACCACAGGACAAAACAAAAACAAATAAAACATAAAAATAAAATTAATGTTCAGTTCAAGAAAAGAATAATTAAATCAAAAACTCACATAGCCAACAACCCAAAATAAGAAGTTCAAAAACTGTGAGACATATGGTTCAACAAGTAATTTGCCAGCTGCATTGTATTTGGAAAAACACGAATTCATGTGAGTTCATGGGTGCTCATGCGCGCTCAAGTGCTCATGGGTGTCCATGGATGTACATGGTTGTTCATGCGTGTGTATGGGTGTTCATGTGTTTTTGTTTGTTTGTCGCTTTGTTTTGCTGCCATCCACTTTCTTTGAACTTAAAAGAATGAACTTGAGATGGAGGTCCCAGCCCTGGGCTGATTTCTTTCTTGAATTATCGGCAATCCAAGGGTTTTGGAGGGGCCTTTTTTGAAACCAGTTCGGGCAGCAGTAGTTTTATAAAGACAAACTGTCAAGACTGAATGGCCTTTCATTTGTCAAAAGCAGTGGTCGGCCAAAAAAATGAAGAAAGTCCTAGTGAGGATTGGTTGTATTCATTTTCTTTTGCAAAAACTAAACGACCAATCCAGCCCAGACTTGATCAATCACTAAAGGGCCTCCAGCCCTCGATATCAGAAAACCAACACAAAGATTAACAATCACCTGGGCTCTCCATCCTTGACATTTATGCCACAAAAAAATGCGAGTAAAAGCAAACAATGACTTGGGGTGTTCAGCATTCACATTTTCTATGCAGTTAAACCTGGAATTTGCCATTAAATTTTGGGTTTTGCAGTTTTCAGATTCATGTTTACAAAAAGGGGGAAAAAGGTTGTCAATCCCAGAGCCCATCCATGACTACGTTTTTTTTCCTCAAACCTATTTGCAAGAAAATGCAATCCAACCCACAGTTAATTGATCACTTGGGCCTTCCCATGCCAATCCATTTCCTAAAAATAATTCAAATGTTTTGCAATGACTTGGGACCCTCCAGTCATCAAATTCGGGAAAATCTCTCCGAGAAAGTGTTTGGTTGAAGATTTTTTGATGCAAAAAATGACTGATCAAACAAAAAAAAAACTCATGTTTTTCAAAAAAATGGATAAGAACCAATGTTTTTTTTGAATAAACATGTTTTTTTAAACTAAAAACCAAGATTTTTTGAAGATTTTCAAGGAAATGAGGTGTAAGTTTGATGTAAGTTTGCATCAAACTTACACTTTTGAGGTGTAAATCGACATCAAACTTACACTAAACTTACACATCAAGAGTGTAAGTTTACACCAAACTTACATATCAAAAGTGTAAGTTTACATCAAACTTACACATACAAGTGCAAACTTACACTTCCCAGTGTAAGTTTGATGTAAACTTACACTTTTGATATGTAAGTTTGGTGTAAACTTACACTCTTGATGTGTAAGTTTAGTGTAAGTTTGATGTAAACTTACACCTCAAAAGTGTAAGTTTGATGCAAACTTACATCAAACTTACACCTCATTTCCTTGAAAATCTTTGAACAATCTTGGATTTATTAAAAAAAATATTGAATTTATTCAAAAATTCTTGGTTTTTAGTTTAAAAAACATGTTTTATTCAGCAAAAATCTTGATTTTATTTAAAAAAAACTTGTGTTTTTGATGGTTTTTGTCAAAAAAATGTTTGGTCAATCACTTTTTTCCATCAACAAATCTTCAACCATACACTTTCTGGGATAAATTTTCCCATGCAAATGTGAATGAATTTGATGACTGGAGGGTCCCAAGTCATTGCAAAACATTTGAATTATTTTTTAGGAAATGGATTGGCATGGGAAGGCCCAAGTGATCGATTAACTCTGGGTTGGATTGCATTTTCTTGCAAATAGGTTTGAGGAAAAAAAACGTAGTAATGGATGGGCTCTGGGATTGACACCCCTTCTCTTTATTTTGGGTAAATTCTGGGTTTAAAACTTGCCTCAAAGACATGAATGCTGATCACCTCAAGTCACTTGCATTGTTTGGTGGTTTCGTTGTTTTTTTCAATGGGGAGAAAGGCCAAGGACGGAGCCCCAGGTGATTGCAAATCTTTGGGCAGGCGTTTTGATGTAAAAAAGTTTGAGGGATGGAGACCCCCTTAGTGATTGATCAAGTCTTGGCTGGATTGCTCCGTTTAGTTTTTGCAAAAACAACTCGAATACAACCAATCCTCACCAAGCAAGTCTTCAAACATTTTGTGTTTGCCACTACTTTCTTACAAGTGAAAAACCTTCCAGTCTTGACAGTTTTTGTTTATGATGATTTCAAAAAATGCCCTTCAAAGCCAAGGTTTGCCAATGATTTGGGGTTCTCTAGCCCCAAATTTATCTTAAAAAAACAACAAATAACTATCGAGTCCAAGCTG